CTCGGTACATGGGTCGCCAGCTCCACCCACTGAACTAACCGGGCACCCTGTCATTGCACATTTATGATATTAATTTCATTAGGTAACGAGGGCCATCTTGGATATCTCAGCGTTTGGTTCATTTCTGTGAAGATGGTCCGATGAAGGTTTCTGAGGCCGATCATTGGGTCTATATAAAGCCTTGTGTTTATAGTGTAGCCCTATTTATTTATTACTATTTACTATCCTTAACCACATTGTATATTAAGTATTAAAATGCATTAATTACGATCGGTGATCGATCAATCAGAGCCCTCCGAAGTAAAGTGTAATTTATAAAAATACAGAATACAGACAGAGAATTGTATAAAAAGTTGCCTAAACAGGAAATAATCTGCTCATAATTCAACCAAATCTCTGGTTTTACACAAACTTCCTGCAGTTACTGAGCTCACTGTTTGGGTTCATTGGGCAGTTTTAATATAATATGAAATATCCATAAAATATTAGTCATTTTAATAAATGATATAAAAGGGGTCCCTGAAGGGAAAAGGTTGGGAACCAGTGAACCAGATGATTTGTATCACAGTTGTTTAGCAGCTTGTTGTCGGCTCTGAGCAGATTCGTCCTGCAGCTGTTCACCTTCACTGACCGCTCATTAACGGTCCGTCTCATCATCCTGCGAGGGCACTATCGTTCACTTTACTGCCCCGGGGCTGTTGATCAATCAGAGATAACAATAGTGATTGGATGCCTGCAGCTGCTGAGCTGTCTGCCTCTCAGTCACTTTACTGGATTTATTTATTATGAAACAGTGAAAAGTTTCATCCTGGTTGGATCAGATTCTCTCTCATCTTAAAGAGGACATTATTGATCTCATACCGGTTAGAGCTGCAGCCATTGATGCATTAATAGTTCAGTAAAAAGTCATAAAAGTGACAAAATGAAGTCACTCTCACCTAAAATTATCAGCACTGTAAAACCAGGTAAGTTAATTCAACTCTAATAATCAATTTTGTAAGTTAAAAAAACATCTTTGATCAAGTAGCTTTAGTGATTTTAAGAGAGAATGACTTGATGTCGTCATTTTTATTCGGGGGGTGCTTTCAGGGGGCTGCTCGGGGCCACGTACCTGCTGCGTCCGGTCCTGGTTTGAAGTATTTTAACTGCTCTGAGTGAGAGTCTATAAACAGGACTTTACTGGGCTTCGTCTGGCTCTTAAACTACGGTAAATGGTTTGGAAAACGTGCTCGTATTGTTCAGTCGGTGATGGTGAAAGCTGATCTTTGGCTGCTGGAGCGGAGCAGTGTGACCGGTGGAGCTGGAGGAGGAGGCGGCGGAGGAGTGTAGCGTTGTCCTCTGGCCGTCCTGCTGTTCATCAAAACTAAACGAGCTCATAAATCCAAACGACATGCCGCCGCTGCAGGAAGCGGCTATGCCAGTGTTCGAGGCCCAAACAGCTCGAGTTTAAGCGGCGGAGGATTTGAGCGTGATCGGTCGGCGCTGTGGGAGCGCTCAGCTGCTGGCAGGTTTACGACCCCGGCTGCTGCAGCCTTCTGCTGGAGGTCTGGAGCAGCTGAGAGCGAGGGCCCCGTCGTCAGTGTGATTGATGCTCCTGAAACTGGCCGAGCTACAGTTCACCTTGACTTCAGGAGACAGCGGCGGTGACAAACAGGCCTGAACACAGAGGCAACATCTCACTTCCTGTGTCGCTCTGAGGTCAGACGGACATTTCTGGACGTGTGTGAACCACTCATACAAACATATCGGTTCTGTAGTGGCTCGTACGATCGGAATCAGTTAGTCAGCCGTTATCCAAACAGGTTGTGATACACTGACGAGCCCCAAACAGTGAACACAGTAACTGCAGGAAGTTTGGAAGAAGTTCTAGCAGATTATTGCATTGAGCTTTTGTTTTCCTGATATTTTTAGGAACTTTTTATTCTGTATTATTTATTTTCTTTCATTTTTATTAATCAAACCAGTAGGTGGCGCTATCACTATGACTGAATAAGGCATGTAGACGTGTTCAGGGCGGGACTCTCAAACGTGTGAAGGTTGGTGGAGATTGGATCATGTACACTGAAGTTATGACAACTTCCTCTTTTATGGCAAATCATCAAAATCTGACGCCACGCCACGGGCACGCCATTCGACATACAGTCATGAATAGCACAACTTTTTAATTGTGAATGACTTTCAAGTTCGTTCAAATAAAACACGAAAAATCGCTGAGAATGATCACGAAATTCTAAATGGACGACTTCCTGTTGGGTTTGGGTGCAAGAGGCTTTATGTTTGTCTGATCATGATACACGTGCGCACACATTTTCATACATGTTGGTAGTACGTGTCTGGGGGCTGATTCTGGGGGGAAGAATACTTATATTTTCACTACCACCGAATCTTGGTTCAAATAGTTTTAGAGCATGTTCGGGCCTCCACAAACGCAATTCATACGGTATTAAAATAATAATAATAATAGCCTTCGAGGTGTTACTGCTCCGGCCTTAAATATTACATCAAATATAATAATATTTAATTACTAACTACTCAAAATTATTTATTTATTACTCTTTTAAAAAGTAATATTATTATTAGTAATGAGTTACTGCCCAGCACTGCTCCTGTCCATGTTAACAATTTATGATGTAAACAATAATATGTAGACATAAACAATAATAAAGAGTATAATTATTTTAGTTTTGAGGATGAAATACGTTCATCAGAGACTTCAGTACATTCATCCACTGTTCAGAGAAAAGCAAAGTCTCATGGGAGATCTCCAGCCAAAGTAAGCCAAGTGAGCGTTTGGAGGCGATCCACGCTGCTCACAGAAACCTCTCTGCGGGGGGGG